TCGATTTAATTTTCTGCTTTTTTTTTTCTCGAAGGCGCAAAAGAATGCACATGAATATATTAGAAGATAAGAATATTCGTTACACAACGCATTAAGCCAGACCGACTTATGTCAAGAGAGGAAGAAAACAAAAGACCAAAGGAAAAAGACTCGGAAAGTACGACTCCAACCAGCTGGAAGGGGGCAGAGCCCACTACTCTCCCAATAAAACCCTAAAATTAGCAATGCCAGCTAACGACCAAAGATGGCCCTCTGAGCGGATGGACTGAAGGACCTCCGAGATCGGCGATAACGCAGAGTCAAAAACCCTGGAGTTCCGTTCCTTCCACAATTGCCAGGAGACCAAGAGGATCAGAGAATCGAAGCCGTGACGAAGATGCTCAGGTAAGCATGCCCTGGACGAAGGCCACCAAACCTGGAGATAGCTACCACGGGAGGGAGAGAGGGCAGCCCAACCAGCAGACGACAACACACGGAGCCAGACATGCCGAGCGAACACGCAATCGAGGAGGATGTGGTTCGCCGTCTCAAGCTCTTGAGTGCATAAGGGGCCGACCGAGTGACTATCAATGCCACGCTTCTGGAGGAGATCTGCCGTCCAGCGGCGTCGCTGAAAAACAAACTAGAGGAAGAACTTGCATTTAGCAGGACCCTTAGCGTGCCAGAGAAGATCAGCATAAGTAAAGGAGTACTGGCCATAGAAGCTCATCTGGTAAGCCGAAAATTTCCTGCTTTTCACTTACACATACAGGTATACTGTACCAAATACTACACTTACTCATATACTAGAGGTGTGTTTAGTTCTTTGGGTGTAAAGTTTTAAAAGTATACGGACACATATTTAAAGTATTAAACGTAGACTAATAACAAAACAAATTACAGATTCCGCCAGCAAACTGCGAGACAAATTGATTAAACCTAATTAATCCGTCATTAGCAAATGTTTACGGTAGCATCACATTATCAAATCCCGGCGGTAGGCTGAAAAGATTTGTCTCGCAATTTACATGCAAACTGTGTAATTAGTTTTTTTTTCACATTTAATACCTCATACATGTATCCAAATATTTGATGTGACGTTTTTGCTAAAAAATTTTGGAATCTAAACCAGGCCTAGATATAGGTCTTGTTTGGATCCTCCGGACTATTAAATAGCCTTCCAGAATCTTGCTATTTAGGATTATTAAACGTAGATTACTGACAATTAAAACCGATTCCATAACCCCTGAGCTATTTTGCGAGACGAATCTAACGATGGATATTAATCCATAATTAACGGCTAATTACTGTAGCATCACTGTAGCAAATCATGGATTAATATACCTTGTTAGATTCGTCTCACAAAATAGACTAGAGGTTATGGAATGTATTTTGTCAGTAATCTACGTTTAATACTCTTAAATAGCAAGATTTTGGAGGGTTATTTAATAGCCCTCCGAATCCAGACTGGCCATACTCTATCGGTGTTGGTTTCAGAAAGGGAATTTGAAACCCAGAATCAAGTTTCGGACGCATCTCTAGCTCTCAGGGTACTACGATTGCACGAATCACTATGATCCAGCAGGCAGTCAGGCAGAGAGAGTTCACGTGATTGATTGATCGGAGGCAAGGCAGAGAGAAAGAATGCATGGGTGCACGCCATTGACGAGATGTATCTATCGAGTACTAGTAGTAGTGGTATGAGAGGAGAGAGGGTGACGGTTGATGATCTCAGAGACGGAATGCAACCGTGTCCACGTCGATCTTTCTCGGAATACATGAACAATCCCTTTTGCCTGGCTCTCGCAGAAACGGTGTGCCAGCTCTCGACTCATGCTCACATACTACTATGTTCAAAAATAAGCTAACCCTAATTATGAATGTTTCGTTGATAGGATTAGTATTTTTTATAGGGCGGAGATAGCTAGCGAGAGGGAGGGAGAGAGAGAGAATGAGAGATGATATTCTAGATGTAGTTCTGGGCAATGAGGCGTCTGCGTCGTCGTCGGCCCTGCGTGTGCTGCCACAAAGGCCAGTGGTGGGGAACGCACACATCTTCTTAATTTATGTGCATGGCGCCAAACTCCCCGATTGAATTCGATCGATACCGCTGCAGATCGATGCATGCATGCGTAGTAGTAGTAGTAGCAGCTCCCTCGCCAGATTCCACCAAATTGCGCGCCGGTCGATCGGTGTACATGATACATCCATCCATCCATCCATCGGCTACATCTACCCAAGTCTCGTCGTCAAGCCTCGATCGCATCGCACCCCACGCCACCGCTCGCTCTCTCATCACACACGGACACCAACATGTGTAGTACGTGTATGTGCACATGCAGGGTCAATATAGGAGTCGTCGGTGGATCGGTCGATCTCCCGTCTCTCCACGCAACGTACGCAAACGCATGCGTATACGCGCCGCGCGCGGCAGAACGGGTGTGCGTGCGTGCGTACGTCGCGCCGGCCGGGGCCCGTACGCAAGTACGCCGTGTGTGTGTGTGTGGCGCTGCGTGCGATCGATCAGCGCGCGCGCACACATGCAAATTTAGCCCAAGCGACGACGCACGTACGACGAGCGCTGCGGCGCTACATACGCATGCATGGATGTATATGCCGCCGTCCGTAAGCTGGCTGGCCGGCCGGGAACCCGGGACGTCGTACGTACGAACGCCCATCCTCGATATATCCAACACAAACATCATGGATGCATACACACACATGGTTCATGGATAGATGCACCGATCAATAAATCGGAGATATCCTTGTGTATATTATACGACGTACAATAGCATCGGGTACTTCTCTATCATGATATATAGAGATCGATGCTAGTATAAACAGAGTATGATCATCGGCATGGGTGGTACTTCCCCGGCTGCCTGAATGGGTGCTACTTAAGGCACTACTCCCATGAGAGATGAAAGCACAACATGCATCAATGCATGCACACGGGACTAGCTAGTAGCAACGATATGATCGACAAGTACTACTCCTATATTATACGACGTACGTACAATTAGTATGTTGCGTCACAAATCAATCGGTCAGACTTAGGACCCATGCAGATCGATATTTGGTTCGATTCGATAGATACATGTGGGAGCGTGACGTACGGCCGCTGAATACTTGTATCTGTTGCATGTACTTGTATGTATCTCGTCATCCTCACTGTGTAAATTTTGCCGTTTCTTTCCTTCTTCACATGACGGCACTATAGTACGTGCGTAGAAGTGTAATTTGTTTGTTTGTTTTTTTGGAAGACGTACTGCGTTGTTTACCGTACAGGCGTACACAACCATCCTGGATTTCTCTGGTGGACAAGTACGTGTACGCCCATGATACGGGGAAACACTTTTAACTACCTAGGTGGAGTCCATCCATTTATTACATGTCAACCAAATAGGTATGAAAAAAATTTAGAAAATTTAACAAGATACCTTCATATGTAAATGTCACATCACAAACATACAAGTTTAAATTTAACTTCTACAAGCTCTAGCAAAAATATCAAATCAAGTTTGATTTGTTATTTTTGTTACAACTTATAAAAGTTAAATTTTAATATATATGTTTGTATATTGATATATTATATATCAATATATCTTGTTAATTTTTTATAACCATTTAATCGACATGCACTAAATGAGTGATTAAAATCCATCGCCATGATACCCCCAGGTTGTTCTTGTATGTGTGCCCTACAGGCTTTTAGGAGTACATTCTAACCCCATGCCCGCTGCACAGTAATTGACGCGGCCCATCTGCGTGGCCGTCGACGTATCCAGTATATGGGTCAATTTGGATCACAGATTATGCAGTGGTCCTAAATGGGACGGGCTAGAGGCCCACAATATTTTTTCACGTTACATCCAAATTTGTGTGGCCCGATTAGGATCGCTGCCAACTATTCCCTTCGTCTCAGGATTTTGAGTTTTTGTTTTGCACTATTTGGCCACTCATATTATTCAAAAAATTTTAGAATTATTATTTATTTATTTTTGACTTACTTTATTATCCAAAGTACTTTAAGCACAAATTTTCGTTTTTTATATTTGTACAATTTTTTAATAAGACGAGTGATCAAACAGTGCAAGCAAAAAACTCAAAATCCCTTATATTATGGGATGGAGGGAGTAGTCAGTTTGGCAGGCCGACAACACCGGCTTCCCTATATATTTTAGCAACTTTATAGGTGTCTTATATTGATGTCGAGTTCGAATTATATCCTTAAACTGTAATACTGATGTTGAGCTCGCATTTTCCAAAACAGGTTAAATAATATCTTAACATAGTATGTATGTTTATTTTAGCTGACGTGGCAATATAGTCAGAAAAAATACATGGGGGCCACATGTAATTTAACTTCAACCTCTTCCCATATATGGGCTCCACATTTTTTTTACTAGGAAGCCACGTCAAAAAAAAAAAACATCCATCTATATTGTCTTAGAACCTTATTTTCCTGGGTTTTAAAAGATGGAGGTTCAACATTTATAGTATTACGATTCCAGGATGTAATTCAAACTCGACGTCTAGATTAGAAACCTTAATGAACTTATTCCTACTAGAGGCTCTAATCTTTTGGCCCAATCAACGTATGCCAAAGCCAAAATTTAAATTTTTGAACTTAATTTTGAAGTAGTTTTTGAGTTTTTTCAATCATAGTTTCTTATACAATATGGTCATTTAAGTCGCTAAGAACATAATTGTAAAAGTTTTAATCACAAGTTATATTTTTTCGCTACTACGCCAAATAGCGTATATTCCGCATATAGCCATCCGATGAGGCTGCCGTTTATAGGGTTCTAAAGAAAAAGGCTGGTTTGGGCCGAGCACCAGATAAGTCGGGCCGATCTCAAACAGAGGCGGTGGCATGGCCCAGTCCAGAAGAAATTTCGCATCTCCAAAAATTTCCACCCGCGAAAACTCCGTGCGACAGTGCGCCGCCCACCAAATTCAAATTTTGAACGCGAAAACTTCCCCCGCGCGTCTTCCTCTCATGCTTAAATCTGCGCAAATCACGCGCTCCTCGCAAGCAACAGTGAGTTTGAACAGAACAACGCGACGACCCTTGCAGCGCACGACCCCGCGGACTCGATCCAGATCTAGGGCTTCTCGTCGGCGGCGATGGCGGGCAAGGGAGGCAAGGGGCTCCTCGCGGCCAAGACCACGGCGGCAAAGAGCGCCGACAAGGACAAGGACAAGAAGAAGGCCCCCGTCTCCCGCTCCTCCCGCGCCGGCCTCCAGGTACTTCCCCCTTTTGCCCATCTTCCCTTTCGGATTTGTAGATGTGAGTCTTGCTTGTTCTCTCCTCGAGCTGCGAATATCTTGGATTTCGGTTTTGGTGCGCGGATTTTTCCCAAATCCTCCGTTTGAATTCACGATCTGAATTTGTCTTCCTCAGTTCCCGGTGGGGCGTATCCACAGGCAGCTCAAGTCGAGGGCGTCGGCTCATGGCCGCGTCGGCGCCACCGCCGCCGTGTACTCCGCGGCGATTCTCGAGTACCTAACCGCCGAGGTCCTGGAGCTGGCCGGCAACGCGAGCAAGGATCTCAAGGTGAAGCGTATCACCCCGCGCCATCTCCAGCTAGCCATCCGCGGGGATGAGGAGCTCGACACGCTCATCAAGGGCACCATCGCCGGCGGTGGCGTCATCCCCCATATCCACAAGTCGCTCATCAACAAGACCTCCAAAGAGTGATGCGAAAAAAAAAAAACTCCCTCATGTGCTTTGCTTGACTCGAAGTTTGGTGGGTGTTTTACTGTTAATTTGTTATGTTTTCTCATTTGATTTGATGTATTTGTGCTACAGTGTTCAATCCTTAGTGGGTTTAGGTGCCTTTTAGTCTTTTGAAATTATCGTGACAATGTTGGTTGCAGCTGAATTCTTGTGAATTCTTCACTCCGTATGCTGTTCTGAACCATCCATCTCGATGCTTCAGTTCAGATTATCTTGTTAATGTTTAAGATCAGTTCGATTGATTGGCATGTGCCCATGTGTTTGTCAAGATGTTGTACTGCTGGTAATTTGGTCTGTTTACGTTTTTGAAATTTGGAAACGTATCTGTCATGATTTGATGCGTTTGCGTTTTTGAATTGTACCAATACCTGTATGGAAACCACAAGTTATGGAAACCAGTGCAACATCTTACAGTGCCAGCAAGTCACAAAAGAACTACCAAGACAGTTTACAGTGCCAGCAAGTCACAAAAGAACTACCAAGACAGTTTACAGTGCCAGAACAGCTAAGTAGCTGTATATGATTATATCCTTAAGCAACAGAGTTTTAGACTTTAGCTCCTGTGTTTTGTCCAACAGCTTCTTTATCCATTCCTCTAAGCACCTTTTGTCATCCTCTTTTTCAATCTTGTTCCATCGCTGCACAAGCGAGATCATATTGTATATCACATTAAGAGTAGGTGTTTGTTTAGTTCCTAACTTTTTCTTCAAACTTCCAACTTTTTCATTACATCAAAACTTTTCTACACATATAAACTTCCAACTTTTTTCTTCAAACTTCTATTTTTGGCGTGGAACTAAACACACCCTAGAATTCAAAGTTTATTTTCAAAAATCCAATCATTCCTAACTAGACACAAAGTTCTCTTTTTTAAAAAAAGATAAAAGGATGGTGCCCAGCTATTGCAAATTTAGGGGGCATTTAAGATGTGACAATTAATTATTTGCCACCCACAGTTTATGATATGTGAACCCTCGTGTCTATGATATGTGGATCCAGTGGCAAATCTTAATTATCACTCGTAAGAGTAACAAATATTTAAATATCTCCATTTATATACAACAAGTTTTGCTGGGATTGCAATATATCTAGAGGAGGTAAAAAGTCTAACAGCCCACAAGGCAAGGGCATCGGGAGGCGCCTCGTCGAGGTGGTCCAAGTCATCATCTGGAGGCGGTGATGACGGTTGTGCCCCCTCTGCGGCGGACCTCAGGCGGCGAGGCTAGCCACGGTGGAGGATGACGACCAATCGTCATGCTCTGGAGCGAGGCGGCACAGTCGCTACTGCATCCTCTCCACCGGCGCGCCTCCTCGCTTGCGTGGTTGTGAAAAAAAAAAAGAGGAAGAGGTGGGCGCTGACATGTGGCCCCGCATACTCTTTCTTCTCACTTACATGTGGGCCTGTATGTTTTTTATTTTTATTTTTATTTTTGCTGACTAGGATTCAATGTCAGCGAAGCGAGTTGCTGATACTGTTATAGGACCGAAATTGTATGGTTTTGTATAATTTAAGGGTTAAGATTTTAGTATTGGAGGGAAGCGATATCAAGTAAACTCGGTGTAAAGTTGAGGGAAAAGAAAGGGAAGTAGATGGACCGACCAAAACATTTACCTGGGCCGAAAACTGAAAAAGTCGCGCGCGCGTGGGCCAGCGTCATCTGGGCCGAAAAAAGGAAATGCCTTTGGAAGGTACCTGGGCCTCTAATTTCTACCTTCCCTAAAAGTGTCCATTTGCCCCCGGTAACTCACAATCACAGGTATGCAACGTGACTACGATTCACAAGCTTCCGTGACTGTAGTCGATACATGTACGCAACCAACTATGCATGGCATGCATGATCCATTGATGCATGAAATTGCAGCACTGGTAGATTTGATCCTTACTGCATCATGCCATCATGTACCTGGCTGGCATGGCTGCACTGAACTCTGAAGTTTCTCGCTTCTATCCTTTACTGCATCATGTACTATCTATCTATCCGGTGTCATCGTCTTCGTGAGGCCATGATCGATGAAGCTACCGTTCACGGATAGAATGGCCCTAGCCTTGTCCACGATTCTCGCTTCGTCTTCCCATCCTCGACAAGAACAGCATTGCTCTTGATCATCAAACCAGTGGGCCGGCTGCGTGCGGGTTCACTGGACGTCAGGAGCAAAACGAATTCAATTCCTGGCCGGTGGTTTCTTCGACGAGGCCTTTTGTGCTCTTGCGGGTTGGAAGCGAGCAGGGCGAATTTCGCAACAATGGTAGCGCGTCCCCCACCACCACATCAACTCTGGATGGGTCACTTCACCTTCCCCTGTCCAAGCGCCTCACGATACTTCTCAAAAATATCTTCTCTATTATTCTTTCCTTTCTTCCACTGGGTTGTATTCTTCAGCTATTTTGAGGCAACTCCAATTTACCCCCAAGGAATACAAAGCGTAGAAAATAGAATTTTGTGCTCATGAAGTTTAGAAAACCTTTTGTTGCTACTACTAACTTGGTACCGGGTCCATTCTTTTTCTAATCGAGATACATATTGTATCTTTTTTTTTTGTTAGAACGTTTTTAAAACTGTTAAACGGTGTGTTTCGTGTGAAACTTTCTATGTAAAAGTTGCTTTAAAATATCAAATAAATTCATTTTTCTAGTTTATAGTAATTAAAACTTAAATAAATTCATTTATTGTCTTCGCTTAATCTTTATCTTCATTAGTTGTGAACAGGGTAATAATCTTCATATCTGATCAGTGCAGGATTTCTTGATTGAGTCCATATCAACAGTAGCTAGCATATGTATCAGCATTATTGAAGTTGTCAACAGCTTAACATTTGCCAAGGCACTCGTGGCAAGAAGAAAAAAGAAAACACAGTATGTCGATCGAGATCAATTAAAGCCATCGTTTTCACCTCACAAGCCAGGTGATCATTCAGCGCCTTATCTATCCGTGCTCTAATAGCGAACGACGAAGGGGAGGTTACACCTAACCACCACTCATGATCCATGACCCCCATCAACCGGAGGGACCATGCACAATATTCACAATTTGCACATACACGCAGGAACGCAGCAAGCAGGCAACCAGGCATGCACCTACATGCCGCGCTGCTCGGACGATCGACGCCTTCCTCCGATCCTCGCATCCACCGCAATGATCCGCTGATCTTTTCCCTGCACGCACGCATGCCGGCCCGCGGCAACACACCGCGACGGTTTCGGTTGATCACTCCGGCTACGATCGATCGATGCCGACGTATCAGCCACCTCCCATACATGCTGGGCATCGCCTCGTATCGGCGAAATGATTCGTTCGTTCGTTCGTTCTCCTTTGATCAATGATGCATCGTCACGAGCAAGCCTGAGTGACTGTGAGGCCGTGACCGTGTGACCGCGACGCAGTACACACCAGCTAGCTCGATCGTCTCGCACACTGCCCTGCCTCGATCGGCAGCTAGCGATCCACCGATGGCGACGTGCAACACAAAACCATCGCGCGATCGGGGCATCGGTGGAAAGCAAGTGTACGACGCGGATGACTGTGTACGTAGCAGCGTGCAGTGCATGCGAGGAGGAGGAGGGGCATGGGAATCATGGCCTGACGATGGGGGTGAGATCCCCTTGGGTTGTGTGGACTTGAGGTCATGGAGGAAAAGGGAGTCAGTTGCCTTTCCTTTCCTTCCCTTTCTCTGCCGGTGCGTACTACGTGAGCCCAGGCCACGCGCACCTTGTGAATGAAGCGCGAGCAGATCGATCATATCGCTGCAATTTGCAAAAGCTCCCCCTGCCTTTCCCTGCTCCCCGCCTGCTCTTACCATCTCTAGCTAATCGACTATGCAACTTGAGGGAAATTAACCTCGATGAACAGGGAGATTTCACTGGATTAGAGAATCAAGCTGATCAAGGGGGGGCAGTACTAGTGTACTACTGCTGTCATGTGTCCGTTCCCAGTTCGTGAGATATAAATTTCAGTCCTGTGCACGCTTCTTCTTCTGTGTGTGTGTGTGGGGGGGGGGGGGGGGGGGAGAGAACAGCATAACAACAGGGGAAGTTCTGAAGATAACATTGAATGCGTGATGTGGCCACATAACCTGATCACAGCTTTCATGTATTGATTGGTGTATGAAGTTGGATATGACCTGTTATCCTTTTTTGTTTTTCTTTTTCTCAACGAAAAGGAGAGGGCGGTCCTTTTCCAACAGGATTGTGGTATCGCCCCCCCTGTATAGTTGTATTCAACCGATACGAATGGCACCAAACACAGTGACGGCTTGTGTATTTTGATGAGAAAATCAGCACAATGGATAGGATAACTAAAGAATCGTTCTGAATAATTGAAACAGTTGACATTTTCTCACCCACCTTATTTATGATTGGAAGCAACTTGAAATACTTACCAGTACAAGAAAACGGCTCAAATGATTGCCCGATTCTCTTATGGCATGTGGAGCAGAGCAATATTTTACTGCATCTGAAGCCTTTGCAACGGGACAATCTCTCTGATCAGGAATGGTACATTATCCTCTCTGCAACACCCTCACACATGTTCTTCGGGTGGCTATCGCTCAGCCACGGACTCACAGCTATACCTGCATACAACCTTACAAGCCTGTCAATCTGCCACGGCGTGCCGGCCTGGGATGTGTTCATTGTTCATGTCCCAATACCCAATTCGCAATGGGCGAGAAGTTATCAGAAGACCACGCCGTGTGTTCATCAGCCGTAACGCCGTATGCACCAATTGCAATGCTTTTCCAATTTGCTCACCGGTTGCTGGGAATGTTGAGAGTTTACAAGATGAGAGTAGCTAGGCAGGCATGTCCGGACCCAGCTGATACCGACGTTGCAGGGAAGCACAGATGGACTGTATAGCAGTAGCACGGGAACAGTGTACGAGGGAGCATCGCTCATGATGTTGTCTGATGAATGGAACCAAAGTAGTAGACCCGGGCACGCCTACAGTGGAAGAAAACCACAGGAATTTTCATACCAACACGTCCTGGGTCTGGACAAACCTCCCACAGTCCCACGGTAACAACAACGGCATATACTGTGTTTAGTTCCACGCTAAATTTTAAAGTTTGAAGAAATTGAAATGATCTGATGGAAAAGTTAAAAGTTTGTGTGTACGAAAGTTCGATGTGACAGAAAAGTTAAAAATTTTTTTTAAAAAAGTTGGAATCTAAACAGAGCCATAGTTATTTTTTTCATCAGTACAGCTGTGTGTACCATTTGATGCAGAGGCTAGGATATTTAATTCCTTTATCAAAAACGTTTTTAACACTACTAGCAGAGAGCAATATTGGCCAACAAATGAGACTGATATTTTGATACCTGAGGTGCGGTTGCGATGACAGCAAGATTGGGGCATAGCTTGCGAACCGGCGAAAGCGGATCGGAACAAGAAGAGACGGGGTCCCCTAATCTAACGCTAAAGCTCTAGCCAAACAAGTGCCCGAGTTTTCCCCGCAAAAAAAAAAAAAAAAAAAAAAAAAAAAAGAACAAGTGCCCGAGTTTGAGTGAGAATCCGGGGAATCAAACGCTTCAAGACATGTGTAACCCCTATGGCGTGTGCTAGCTCACGTCCCGTCCCGCGACCACGACAAAACGCCATTTTAGCCCGACGCGTCCAGCTTCATTGGCCTGATCACACAGTAGTTGAACCTGCCCTGTTTATCAGCCATGATGCGTCTTGGCGCTACGTGAGATATGACCCCGATGGATCGATCGCTGGTTTCACTGCACGATCCGTGGCAAGCAACGCAAGAACCCTTGGGCGCAAGTTTCCTTCACCGATTGGGTGACTGATCTCTGATCTGATCAGTTTTTGCTTAGCCCACTTTTGTGTGTGTGTGTGTGTGTGGTTGTTGCATGCAACTGTGGAACACATTATACACAACATGGCGTCTGATGCTGCTGCGTATGGTGGCTGGGTTGGTTTATTGGACGGCCATGGCCAAAAGGCTTAGACGTCAAGTTATGATCCTGAGAATGTGATCCAGTGGATGGATGGATGCTACTGTCAGATATTCAGATTGCCAATGGTGGCACCATGCTGGATTGATTGATAGTCCATGGGACCCCGGTCTTCTTTCTTGATACTGTTGTTACAAACAGGGTTGGCCTAATCATGGATTCCCGGGACATTTCCATGTGGAAATTGCTGTGTAGTGCAGGCCCGTTTCACGCGTACAACACCAATGGCGAGAACCTGATCAGACCTGAACTACAGCTACAAAAAAAAAAAGGACAAAAGTTCTGAAGCTAGGTGACATTTCGTGTCAAAGTATGGTGACCAGTTTTGGCAAAATTTGCTACAGGACACTTAAAAATATGTAATTAGCTGTGGGACACCGCAAAGACGTGAATTTGTCTGAGGACACTTAAAAAATGTGGTAATTTGCTGTAAGACACTGAACACATTAAAATATAATATCCACCCAATTGATAAGAGAGAAACCACACAAAATGACATTTTTGCCCGTATCTTCTTCTCCCCTCTTTCAGTCTTCTTCCAACGCTCACTCTTGCAGTGAGCTCCATTGGCTTGCCCATGGTGGACAGGCGCTCAGCGTAGTTGACGGTGCGGTCGCACGGTATGCCGAGAATGAGCGTAGCAGGAAGTTCCTCACGACCGTTTAGATAATTTAAAGGTGACGGATTTCCTCGCCGCTGCAGCCATACCGGCATCCACCACCGCGCCGCTACTGCCTGACTCCGAGCCGACGGCGACCACGGCGCCGACACTGTCACTGCCTCACTACCTTGCTTGTTCTCCTTTCAACCAGCCGCCATCGCTCCATGCGCTGACGTGGACAGACTTTCAGCGCCATGCCACCAGTGCCGCTCTGCGCGTGCCCCGCCATGTTCAAGGAGAGAGAGCGCCTCCGCCGGAGCATACACGCCATGCACCGCCACCACCTCCACTGCACTCTGATGTTGCGGCGATGTGGTCAGCAAGCTCCGGAGTCAGTTCTTGATCATGGCCAGCACAATGCCGCCGTTGCCGTTGGCTGTAGTGGCACTCACCATATCACTGCTGACGCCATCGTGGATGACGAGCTGTGAGGAGGTGGCTACCATGACGGAGTCAGCGAAGTGGAGCGAGGAGGAGCTAGGAGGGTACATGTAGCCGACGCTGCTGCCGGAGCTTGCGTAGCAAGTGGCACCGGTGCTGCCCTTGCCATGATGCTGCTGTTGCTCCGAGAAGGAGATGATGCCGAGGAAGTCCTCTAGCTTCGGCTCTGCGGCGAGCGCCGACAAGAAATAGATGGGGTGATGGGGATTGGGGTCGGCCGGTCGGGGATGTATTGGGGAATTGATGGAGGATCGGGGAAAAGAAGAAGGGCAAAACTGTCATTTTGTATGATTTCTCTCTCATCAATTGGATGGATATTATATTTTAATGTGTTCAGTGTCCTACAGCAAATTACCATATTTTTGAAGTGTCTTTGGGCAAATTCACGTTTTTACAGTGTCCCACAGCTAATTACACATTTTTTTAAGTATCCTGTAGCAAATTTTTGCCATCAGTTTTTTACATGCCGTGAAGAAGTTTTGTATCATCTTGCAAAATAATTTTTCAAACTTCCAACTTTTCCATCACATTAAAATTTTTCTACACACACAAACTTTCAACTTTTCCGTCACATCGTTTCAATTTCAACCAAATTTTCAATTTTAAGGTGAACTAAACACATCCTTTGTTTCCTTCTAAATCGCTTGAAAAAAAAAGGCTTTCCACTCGGTTTTTGCCATCCAACGATCACCTGATCGATGGAAGTGGGAGCATCACGAAACGAGCGGCAGGACTGACACGAGAGTAGTAAAAACTGCAGGTCTGCAGCCTTAACTTCTCCTGTCACCCGCTAAATACCAAAACTACCCACAAAATACAGCAACATTTACAGCTTCGACACTGCACTCAATGCCCTCACACGCTAAAGGCCAAGCAGGGGTAACAGGGTCATTTCCGGTGGGACCGATGTGTCAGTCGCCACGTAGGACAACGTTTAGATAGGCACGACCACGCAGCATGCCACGCCGATCTCCTCGCGCCACGTCACCCCTCCGGATCCCTTTAAAACCAGGCTCTCCTCTTCGTCTTCTTCCAACAGATCGACACCGAAAATTCGAAGCAAAAAAAGGAGAAGAAAAGAAAAGGAAAAAAAGAAAAGAAAAACAAACCCTAGCCGCACCGATCGAAGCCAGTGAGACGCCGCCGACGGCTATGCGTGAGGCGATCGTCGGTGACCACGATCGCCGCCGCCGCCGCACCCGCATCCAGTGAAACCCTGCACTGTCGTCTCGTTCGGTTGTGAGGAGATGAGGGCGGCGGCGGCGGCGGCGGGGCAGATCGATCCGTCCCCTGGGGCGCCGGCGAAGTCGCGGCTGAAGAGGCTGTTCGAGAGGCAGCTGCTGCGGGTGTCGCCGGCGGAGAGGCTCCCGTCGGTCGCGGGTGTCGGGGAGAAGGATGAGTCGTCGGAGCCGAGCTCCGTGTGCCTGGACGGCATGGTGCGGAGCTTCTTGGAGGACGGCGTCGGCGTCGAGCGGCCGGCGGGCGCCGCGCGCTGCTGCAATTGCTTCCACGGCGGGGAGGCGTCTGACGACGACGACGACGGCCCCGCTGCTGCCGAGGCGGCGGCCACCTCCGACGCCGCAGAGACCATCAAGGTAGTGTGGTGTCTCCGCCACCGCTAGTTATTATCCTCCCATGTTCGCCGCGTTGCCGGCGGCGAGAAGGCGACGAACGCCGGTGCTGACCGTTTCTCGCATTTCTCCTCAGGGCCTCGTCCACTGCGCCAGCCTCCGGGAACGCAACCTCCTCGCCGACGTCTCCACGCTCGTCGAGCGCCACCGCGCCGCGGGGGCGCGCAAGCGCGACCTCCTCCGCCTCCTCGCCGACTCGCTCCGCGCGGCGGGGCACGACGCCGCGGTCTGCATCTCCCGCTGGGACAAGTCCTCCTCCCACCCAAAAGGCGAGCACGCCTACCTCGACGTCCTCCTCCCTCCCGCCTCCGACCGCGCCGAGCGCGAGCGCATCCTCGTCGACGTCGACTTCCGGTCGGAGTTCGAGGTCGCGCGGCCCACCAAGGCGTACCGCGCCGTGCTCCAGCGCCTGCCGTCGGTGTTCGTCGGGAAGGAGGACCGCCTCCGCCTCCTCGTGGCCGCGGCCGCCGACGCCGCGCGCGCCAGCCTCAAGAAGCGCGGCCTCCACCTCCCGCCATGGCGCAAGCCCGAGTACATGCGCGCCAAGTGGCTTTCACCCTACGAGCGCGACGTTCCTTCACCGCAGCAGCCAGATGCCTCCGCCGGTGAGCTCGCCGTCGACGGCGAGGGAGGTGGAGCGTGGACTCAATGATTGATGATCAAGGACTCGTCTTTTGTTGATTCTTTTTTCTTCGGGAATTTGCATTTGCAGCGTCATCTTGGGCTGGATGCAAATGTTTTATTCTTTCTTTTCCTTTCCTTTTTCCCCCTTCATTTTTACCCTTTAATGGGTTTCATTTTGGCCATGGAGTAGTAGTAACTGTAGTAGTAAGCACGGATAAGACGAACGGGAACAAAAAAAATGTAGTGTTAGTTGAACAGAAAAAAAAGAGAGATAATGGATTACGGCAATATCTACTTCTTTCAGTTTCAGTGTTGGTCTGATAACAGAAGATAAATTTAACTTAATGGAGTACAATAACATAAAGGAAAAACAGTTCAGAAAAAAACAAAAGAAAGCAGTACATTGCTCAGCGACCAGTTTTTAATTGGAACAATGGAACGTATATTTGCATTTCATCAAGTTATTTCTTGTTGATTTCCTATCCGGTTCCTGTAATTTCACGTGGAGCGGGTGTGCAATTTGCTGGGCCTTTCCAGTTTTGCAGAACAAGATACCGGGAACCGCAGTGACAGTAGCTTGATCTGAACTCTGAAGTGTGTTGACATGGAGCGGCTTTGATATTTTGCAGCTTCAACGTCTCCGGCATCGTCATGCTGATGGGTTTAGCTTGTGAAGCGGAGCTGAAGAAATGGTTATAAAAATTCTTAATGGAATTGTTTAAGCTGAGGTTGCTGTCTTGTGCAAGCTAAAGCTCAGGTGGGGGGAAAGAAGCAAGCAAGGCAGAGAAAAGAGCAAGTGGATATAGGAAGAGTATATAAATCTGCATCGGTATACGCGCTTCTTATGGGTTGTTTATTCCTGCTAGCTCGATGAGAAACGGCGTAATCCGAATCTGGATCATAAGATAATCTGAGCAGGTCACAATACTCTGTAGATCTAACTTAACTGCTTTGTCGATCCTCTGCGGCCTCTCTCTTTGCTTGCTTCCCATGTAATGCTCGGTCGATGATTGGTGAAAGAAGGAATCCACACGGCTTAATTGTACTCGATCGATGAGTAATAGCACAATAACCTCATCCCGAAAGGCCAAAACTTGTCCACTGAAGTGTTGTTATCGGTCGATCTGTCATTCTGTACTCCTTTGTCCAGCCACACGGAACGAACATGCTCTGGTGATGCCTGGACGCCCGGATCACGCCAGAGAGAGATAGTGGTGGTGGTAGAAAAACAAATCGCGAGCGCGAAATGCACTTGACGAGGCGGGGACGCGGGCCGCGGCCTCTCTCCCCTCTCGCGGGGAACGCACGGTTGTTTTCGCGTACTCCGCCGCCGTACGCGCCGCTCGCGACCTGTCACCTCCCCACCGCACCTGTGGCTCGTACGCGAGCGCGAGCGAGCGAGCGGCGCACGGCGCACACGCGTCGTCCTCTGCAAACTGCAAGGCGAGGCGATTGTTGGGATCGACTCGCAAATGGCCGAGACGGGGATGCACCGTGCGCGCACGTACTCCGTACTCCAGTAGGAGTAAACGCGGGTGGGGGTGTACCGTGTATGCGTGACCACGCACCGCTCGGTGGCGCGGCGCGCATTTACGGCCGGAATGGCCTCGCATCGGCATGCCTCCCCGTAGTTTTTTCAGTTCGAAACGGCACGGCTGTTCCGGTCGTTTATCAATTTATCATCGCACTCCTCGTCTTTTTTCGGGGGTTTCCGTTGGAAAAGGGAGAGCAGTAGTACTGGCGAGTTGGCTCACTCCCCGGGGTGGGGGAGAGAAAAAGCTTTTGGAACTGAAACTGACCCGGGTAAGAAAGCGTAGCTTTATTGCGTGCTCCGGCTGTGCCCCCGCTGCGCATCACACAATGATTGTACTCCGCTGCATGCAAAAGCAGGCAGGGGGAAGGGGAACGAACTGCCTCCCCGTGCCTTTCTCTCTCACACTCGCACACAGACACGCACCTTTCCTTTCCTTTCTTCTCTCTCACACCTCCCTCTTTTGTTTCTGACCGGGAAAAAAGAGACAGCCATTTCGCTCTCCCCTCTGTGTAAAAATGATCTGTTTGGTGTCACACTTGATGAGTCATGAAGGGGACCCTCCTTTGTATCGGTACCAGTACGAACTCTTCTTGATCTTATCTCGCAGAAAATGGCCGGTCTCACTTCACCGAGAAACCTCGTTAGGTCTCTGACGCTTATTTACCACCCTATGGCAGAAAACCTACATGGCACCAAACCGATCATCACCACTCTTTCTCCCCCCCCCCCCCCCTTCTTCTTCCGTGCATCACACCACATAATTCATCGATCGATTGGGGGGCGCAGTGGACAATGGTACATGCATGCTTGGCTGCAATGACTGCGTGACGCTTGCGGCCCTTGCAAGGGGCGCAAACGCAACCGCGGCGCGTAAATGCGTGCTCCCCCTTTCGCAGCTCTCCCGTCTTCTCTCACACCACACCACCCGGCTGCGTCAGCTACGCATAAATACACGGCAGCCTATAGCTGCACTGTTGCACACAACTCCGGGTGGTAGTAGGAGTGTACTAGTACGTAGTACGGCTGCTTGCACTTCTCATGCGATTTACGCCTGCTTTAGTTACCAATTTTTTCTTTAAACTTTCAACTTTTCCATCGTATTAAAACTTTCATACACACAAATTTTCAACTTTTTTATCGCATCATTCCAATTTCAATCAAACTTTTAATTTTGACGTGAACTAAACACACCCTTAATCAAGAGTCACCTCGTCATCGCGCTACTCCGACTTTACACTAGCACCAGTACTTACTACTCCCTCCGTTTTATAATATAAGAGATTTTGGATGGATATGACATAATGAAACTGGACAGACGATTTATTGTACTATAATATTATATTATATCCATCTAAAACCTATTATTATAGGACGGAGGGAGTACTCTACTACTCCTTCGTACGTATAACGCCGTAACGTGGCAGTGATGACGCGATTTATTACTAAAATAATACTGGTAGTCTTGTACTGCTACACCTTGCAGGAGTTGAATACTACTAGTACTTCGTACTCTACCGAGTACGCCGTAGCAAAAGCCAAGTCTCCGTACGTACGTGTAGATGGCGCCTGCGACTGCGACTGATGAGGTGAGCGAGGCCGTTTCAAAATGATGAAATGCTCAGCAACAATAATTCACTCATGAAGTTGTACGTGCTGTTCGTGAAATCGTGAGTCGTATCCGGGGCTGCTCCGAGGCAATGCCTCCAAGGCGCGGGCAGGGGAGTGATTGCCATCAATTGTTTCGTACTGGGGCGTTCTTTGCTCTTGCATGCTTTCGCGGGGAAATTGAAGTACTACCGCCATGAAGCTGCTTGCGTTAGATTACTGCAGATTCAGTCAGTCATGTAGTTTCATCTCCCTGTTATACAGTGCCCACAATGGTGAAACGCGCGTTTCAATGCCAATACATGCAATTGGAAAAAGAAAAGAAAACAAGATGTGGAGCAATAAAAATCCTGTTTCAGATATGCAATTCAATTATCTCCTGCATGAAGATCAGTCCTGATCAACAGATACCCTTCATAGTTCAGGCATACTACACCAATACTGCTAAGAGAGAATACAACTACAGACCAACAGTACGTAATACTACTAGTGTAGCTGCCGTAGAAGATCAGATGCTTCCATTATTCCTGACAGTTGAACAGAAAAGAAGAGCCTATTCTCTGAACCAGGTATACTAAATTCTGTAATTGCTGAAATTTTTAAAAGGACTATACCCCTACTTTTACTTTGCTCTCCTAGTAGTATAAAATAATACATCTAATGTCATTGTTGGATCCATTTTGCAGATTTTTGTATTCTTCACTTGTCCTGCTCTCTCTGGATAGGGACCTGCCAACTTTTGATCAAGTGATGTTGTATCCTGTGTATGAAACGGAGACAACCCGTGATGGTGCTTAATCCAACTATTTACGCCTCACTATTCATCTCAGCTCTCGAGATGATAACAGTGCCTTAAAAAAGAACAGGCCTGTTACCTGTACATGCATGTTCCAGTGTTCTTGCATAGTGTGGATGATTTCTTCAGTTGCCACATTTCTGCGAACTTGGAACTGGTTGGCGAAGTATAGTAATATTTCAGCAAACTTGCATTATGGAGTAGTAAAAAAAATGCGTTTTTAGCTTTCAGGAGCAGAAAATTTGCTAGGATTTCAAAGCTACACTCTGGAGTTCTGTATATCATTGTGATGACCACCGCATATACAAATACATACAGACAGTGTCTGAATCAGTCCAAGATCAATACTAAATGAGACTGTTGGTGCATACAGGACCACTTTTGTCTAATGGAGAAGTATACCCCTACAAGTATCCTGTCTACATGGGCAAAGTCAGTAGCAATTTATTGGTGCACCGGGCCGTGTATCAATCTGGCAGTACCTTTCGTTGTGGGTCCTGCAAATTTTCAGCTGAAAATGCAGTATAACAGTACTATGGTGTCGACATTGTCTCGCAAACAGCATCTCAGTTAAGTCGAAGATTAGCTCGCAATGATCAAATTAAGATGTATGTGTCAGTATCACAAACACCCCAGCATCTCTCAACATTCAGTAAATACTTACATGTTCAGATCTAGCATACAGTACATTGGGATGAGAAATTTAACGTGCTCCCCATTTTGTATTGCAGTGTGCATGAAAATTGACATTGGGCTCTGAGACTTTTTTGGATTTGGAAGCATATAAACGGGAATGGATTTGGGATCGGAACAGAGAGAATAACTTCTCGGATCCAGCGACTCACATGGGACAGAAAACAGTGGAGTGAGTTTTGCACATAATACCAGCTATAATGAATGCTTGATTCCTAGTTCAATAAACCGAAGTAGTACATGTATGTACACATGGTTGTAAGCTCCACAAAATAGGCAAATGAATTAAGAAAACCATGTGTGCCTATTGGCAGTAAACAACGCCAAAAATGTTGTGTGCGCTTTGGTGATTAGTAGATAAGCAGGAATCACTCGGTCGTGAGCTCGTTGATTGTTTAGGACTAGTGGTGTACTTTAATTAATTGTTCTCCAACCAAGAATCAACCAAGTTGATCGGTTTTTAAAATCCATGGACGATCAAAACAGAATGCAATACAGTATTCAGCTTGCGTAGGACATACACACACCAGAAAACGCTCGACGATCGATTTGCCTCGAGACTTGAACTTGTTACATCATCAGCACACATGCATGGATTAGCTAGCACTCTAGCTCGTTGCTACCTCAGTCCCAAAATAAGTGCACCGTGGATATCCGTGCCCAACGTTTGACCGT